GGCCAACCCGCCCTCAGAAGCCGAGGCGACCCCGGGACGCGCACCCGCTCACCTGACGCTCTACCGGCTGCACCGCGATCTGCATCCCCAGCGAGCTTACAGCCCAACAACACCGCGAGATCAGCTGATTCACGGGGGGCGGGGCCTCCGGCAGCCGCGGGCCAGTAGGCGACAAGCGAGAATGAAGTAGGCGGGATCAGATGCCGACGGTGGCTGGTAGGGATCAAAATTACCCAAGAGGCATTGGACACTGCGGGCAAAAACCTCCGAAGGACGGCCCCTCCCTTGTCATGGGGCGGGGCCACCGGTTCTGAGGCCGATGACGTAACTTGGAGCCGCAGGGGGCCCAACCACCCCGTTGCTGCTGCTGGTGGCAGAGAGGTTGGTAGCTGCAGTCATTGTGTGACCGCCTCAGACGGCAAGAATCAGAAGGGTAAGTTTGCTGCTCTTTACAGCGAAAAGGCTAAAATATCTGCAAAGCGCTTCTATGGACTGGACCCCAAAGGTAGTCGCTTCCGCCCCCCGCAAATGACGTCATCGCCCGAGGCGCGGGCTAGCTCTGGCGTCCACGTTTTTCCTTGCTTAGCTGCAACCCCAAAGGGTGGAGGAGGGTGGGAGGGAATGGATTGGCCTCTCCTACGATTCCCACAAGGTACCCCGCTATCCAATATGAGTAAAACCCGTTTGCCTACCGCAGCCACAGCCCCACTCGGACTCAGCTCGCGCCCAAGACCCCCACGAAGATTTTCGGGAGCCGCGCGCGCGGAGGCTCCCTCTGCCGGGAGGCTGCGTGCCTTGGCTGAGCCTGCAGCCTTGTATCCGGACCGCCGACGGCAGATGTGCAGTTAAGGTCTGGAGCTCCTGGCAGACATGGTCTATCACGTTCACTCACCCTCAACTCAGTTGTCGTCTTGGTCCTCCGCCCACCTGCAAACCCGTGAGCCTGCAGCAGTTGAACCAACCTTGCCCTCTCTGAACCAGTGCTGGACACCACGTAACCTGTGATCTGGCACCAGTGCAAACCAGTGTGTCCACCTTCAGTCGGTACTTCCATGCGACCGGGCGACCTTGCTAAGCCTGAAACAGTCTTTTCCAAATTGCTACTCAGATATTCTGCTATTCCCAGTCCCCTAACTTGTTACTGAATTCTACCCACCCCATCCCTTTGGTAAGAATGAAAAACTTTGCCTCCTGCATTTCTGAAGAAAATGAGGCCACTGCGAAGGAATTTCCTTAACGCCCACCAGCCACTATGACAAAACCTACCTGCAGCCCTTCCTTTCCTTCTCAGAGGAGGTGTTCTGTCCTCTCAAGGTTAATCCGGCCGCTTGAACCCCGAATCCCTTCCAATCCCTTTAGAGACTTTTCTCTTTTGTGTATTTTCAGTCTCCGCCTCTCTCTTACTCGTATTCTTCAGTATATGAGCCTGTTCCTGCCTATCCCATCTTTTAATTTCTTTTTTCTCTGTCCTCATTTCTTTAGCAACCTCCTTTTCTTTCCCAGTCTTTCCTATCCCTTTCTATAGTCTCTACTTTTTTAGGTCTTCTGACACCAGTAGTCACCTCTTACTTTTGGAATCTAATGATTCAGTTTAAGAATGAAAACATTTTATGCAGCCGTTTAAGTGAAAGAATGAATCTATCTGTATTGCTATGGAATGATCTGGAAGTTAGATTAAGAGAAAAAATACTAGATACTGAGTCGCGTGTATTGTATTCCACTAATTGTGTATGTGTGTCAGAGAGAGAGAGAGAGAGAGAGAGAGAGAGAGAGAGGTGTCCTCTGAAAGGACACATTAAAATGTGACTAGCCCTGGCTGGGCAGCTCAATTGGTTAGAGCGTGGTCTTGAGACACCAAGGTTTGACCCCTGGTCAGGGCACATATAAGAGGCAACCAATGAATGCGTACATAAATAAATGGAATAACAAATTGATGTTTCTGCCCTAGCCAGTTTGGTTCAGTGGATAAAGCATCGGCCTGCAGACTGAAGGGTCCCAGGTTTGATTCTGGTCAAGGGCACATACCCAGGTTGCGGGCTCGATCCCCAGTAGGGGACGTGCAGGAGGCAGCTGATCAGTGATTATCTCTCATTATTGATGTTTCTATCTCTCTCTCCCTCCTTCTTCTTCTCTGAAGTCAATGAAAAATATATTTTAAAGCTCCAGTCCAGCCCTCCGAAGATGCTGTGTGCCGGCGGGAGGTTTGGAGCCTCCGGAACTGTGTGCGCGGGTGGAACTTCAGGAACCTGGGGGCTGTAGGATGCAGGGTCCTGAGCGCTGAGGCCTTTAAGAAGATCCTGAAACTTCCTGCCTCAGTTTCCCCATCTGTAGAATGAAATAATAGTGCCTGTGGCATAAGGATGTTGTGAGGAATAAATGATTGACTCCAAAGTCCAACAGTACCTGGTACAGAAAAAGCATTCAGAATATAGCCATTGTAAGGTTTAAAAGCATTGAATCAACTTGTATTCCAAAATTGGACCAACACAAAGACTTGATGTTGTGGAATCAGGAGCAAACAAGCAATGTCGTCTAATGAACAAGAAAGAGTCTTGTGTTATAATGGTGAAGTCCTTGTTTTTCAATTGTCTAAAGGAAATTTTGCACATAAAGGGCCTGCAGAAATACCCATATTACATGTCAGAAGAATGGTATTTGACAGAGAAACAAGTGTATTTGTTCAGAAGTCCACTGGATCCTTTAGCATAAAGGAAGAAAACTCTGATTTAAAAATCTTGTGTTGCAACTGTGTGTCAGATTTCAGAACTGGAATGAACCTCCCTTATATTATGATACAATGCAATGAAAAGAATAATGTTTTCAAATATTTTCTACTATTTCTTCACAGTACCAATAAATTTGAAAAACGTTTGAGTTTTAGACTAGCCCATGAGTTGAAGGATGGCCTACGGGTCTTTAACGGGCCTTTAATTATATGGAAACATGTTAAAACATTCTTCTATCTCTCTCCCCAGACTAGCGAAGTTATTACTGTGTCCATTAACTTTTCCTCTATTGAGTGGGCAGGAGAGATTGAAAATCTAGGTATGGTTTTATTAGGACAAAAGAAATGTTATTTATCTGAGGAGGAAAGCACCTCAGAGCCTTCAAAATCAGATTATGCAATTTGGAACACCAGATTTTGTGTATGCTTTCTTGAAAGTGAAGAAGTAATAAGCGATACATATATTATCCCTCCTGCTTATAGCAGTGTGATAACTTGTGTGCATGTCTGTGCAACTGAGTTTGTCAACAACAAGCTAAGAATGTCTTTGATTGCCCTTACTCGGAGGAATCAGCTGATTTCATTCCAGAATGGGACTCCTAAAAGTGTGTGCCAGCTTCCATTTGAAGATCCTTGTGCAATACAACTTATGGATTCAGGTGAAGACCGCCTTCTCATTGTGTCCTTTAGGTCCAGTGCTTGTGGTGTTTGGGAAAAGAACTTTCAGGTTGCTGCTAAGTGGGAGCAAATTAGCTCAGTACTCATAGATGACTTTATTGGAACGGGAACAGAACAAGTACTGCTACTTTTAAAGGACTCCTCAAATTCAGATTGCCTGAGTTCATTTAAAATAACAGATCTTGACAACATAAACTATTCAAGTCAAACATTGGATTGCAATAAAGATGACGTATTTAAAGACAAAGAAGATAATCGTTATTTGGTGATTCCAGCTCTGGAAAGAAGAGTGAAAGTTGGCTTGGCTTCTATTCAGGAAGTTCAGCAGCATCTTTTGCTTAAGGAAAAGGTTATCTTAAAAACTTACAAAGCTTTAATGAACTTGCTTCAAGGAAAAGAATGTAGTACATCAATTGCAGAGGAGGAATGTCTTGTAACTCTTTGTGGTGAAGAAGAAAATCCTGTTCATACTTGTGATACGAACTTATCAGGCAATTCTCAAGTTTCAAAACAGCTAGTAGAGAAGACATGGTATCGTGTAATAGATGATAGTTTGGTTGTTGGAGTGAAAACCACATCTTCTTTGAAGCTGCCTCTGAACCAGGTGACTTTATCGTTGTTAATGGATGAACCCCATAGCTCCAGCTTTCGGCTTATTAAGTGTCAAAACAGGGTGATCAAGTTGAGTAGGGACTCTTTTTCAGCACCCTGCTCAGTGCCATATGAAAAAGGACCAGAGGCAAAAAGAACCAAATTGACTGTTGATTGTGAGGAAGAGGAAGAAGAGAGCTTTGTTTGTGGACAATATTCTGAGAAAGAGTGTGTTCAGATAGTTACTGCCGTAACATCTCTTTCGCCACTTTTAGCATTCAGTCAGGTATGTTGCATTGTGCTGCTGCAAATTAGGGAGAGAGAAAATGGTAACTCTTCTGCACATCGTTTTTTTCCATGTGGCAGACTTTTTCTAAGTCTAGAAGATTTTTCAAGTGGGAAATACTTAGTGACCTTTCCAAAGAAACCTATAGAACAAATGGAAGATCTCTTTGCACTTCTTGCAACATTGCAAAAAACTTGCTTCCAAATTACATCAGCCAGATATGCCCTGACTTCAATGAGGACGTGGCTCTTGGAACACATGAAATGTGAAGTAATCAAAAAATTTCCAGAAATTTGCTTTTGCAAAGGGTCAGAAAATTTATATGGGACACTCTTCCACTGGCAACAAAGGACACCGTTTGAAGGGATTTTAATAATCTATTCCAGGAATCAATCAGTTTTGTTTCAGTGCCTTCATAATCTCACCAGAGTTCTCCCTATAAACTGTTTCTTGAAAAATCTAAAATCAGGAAGTGAGGATTTCCTAAGTGATCATTTGGCATTAACTTTGGAGAAGGAATTGCTTATCCTTGGTTCTCTTTCTTCTGCCTTAGTTAAGGTTGAAAACAACTTGGTGCAGGGCTATGAAGCAAGCAAAGAAAGTAGTAGTGGTGTTCCGACTGTTTTATCAGACAGCAAAGAAAACATCCAGCCCTACAGAGAAGAACTTCAGAGAGAAAAGCAAACGTTGGGGATGGACCTAAAAGTGAGTGGTGCCCTTTATAGAGAACTGACTCTGCAATTAGCTGAGGTTCAGCTGAAATCAGACCTCACTGCACAGACATTGAGTGGTCAGTAATAATAATCTCAATTTGGTTATATTTTAAAATATTTTCCCTGCCAGAATAGTTTGGTTTCACTTGGTTTTATTTCACATTATATGCCTCCTTTGTAAAAATTAAAAGTGAGGCTTTTTGTAGAATCAGGTTTTGATGATGCACAAAATATCAAGCCTTAGAGCAGCACTTCTTGAACTGGGGCCATTTTGCCTCCCTCCAACTTTCCCCTCCCTTTCCTCACCTTCCCTGCCCAGGAGCATTTAGCTTGTTTGGAGACTACTTCTTTTAAATTGTCAAAAGGAGTGGACAGTGGGGAGGCTGACGCAGGGGTGCTATTCACATCTGGTAGGTAGGAGCCAGGGATGCTGCTAAATATCCCAGTGTGCACAGATGAACCCCCCTAGAAAGAATGATTCTTGCCCGGCTGGTGTGGCTCAGTGGTTGAGCGTCGACCTATGAACCAGGAGGTCGGGGTTCAATTCCCGATCAGGGCACATGCCCAGGTTGTGGGCTCGATCCCCAATGTGGGGCATGCAGAAGGCAGCCAATCCATGATTCTCTCTCATCATTGATGTTTCTATCTCTCGCTCCCTCTTCCTTCCTCTCTGAAATTAGTAGTAAAAATATTAAAAAAAAAAAGAATTATCCATCCCGTAATTCAGAGGTTGAGAAATCCTGCTTTAGAGTTATCACTTGAGAGAATGCAGAAGTGCTTTAACAGTATTTTGCTCTAAATATTTTTTAAAAACTTAAATAGTTCTTTTATTGTATTCTGCTTAATAAAATCTAGCTTATGTGAATTAAAAAAAATTGATGTTCCTGTTTCTTGCTCTAAAAAAATAAATAAATAAAAACTTTTAAAAAGTGACTAATGCCAAGGAGAATTGGGAACAAAAGTGGAAGGAAGACTCACTTTTTACTCTATGCAATATTGCACTGTTTGAACTTGTAACTTTACAAATAGAGTTTGAATATACTTTTTACTTATTTTTTGAAACATGAAAAAAGTGTGTAGTCTTATCTTCCTTTCCCTCTTATTCTTCTAGACTTCTGGGACACACTTCTGGGTTTTCCTCCTACTCTTTCAGATCTTTTCAGACTCTTTCACTTGTCCCTAAAATTCTCGGATTAAATAAACATTTATTCCATGCGTATACTGTGCTGGGCACTGTTCTAGGCCCGTGGTCGGCAAACGGCGGCTCGCGAGCCACATGCGGCTTTTTGGCCCCTTGAGTGTGGCTCTTCCACAAAATACCACGTGCGGGCGCACATACAGTGCGATTGAAGCTTCGTGGCCCATGCGCAGAAGTTGGTTTTCGGCCTGGGCGAGTCTATTTTGAAGAAGTACTGTTGATATTTGGCTCTGTTGACTAATGAGTTTGCCGACCACTGTTCTAGGCACTAGGGAGACATGATAATGAAAAGAAACAGGCAGGAGTTCCTGTTCTCACGGAGCTTGCACTCTGCTGGTGTGAAAGACAGTTGGTGCCATCGGTTCCTCCCTTCATGTATGCAAATGCCACTCTGCAAGTGATGGAATCTATTTCTTCTTCCCCTGATCATGGGCTAGACTTGTGATTTTTTTTTTTAACTAATTGAATGTGGCAGAAATGAAGTTCTGGGACTTCTGAATTAATTCCTTAAATAAACTGGCAGCTTCCAGATCTCCCTCGGAGAAGCCAGCTGCCACCCTAAAGAAGCTTCAACAATACCACAGATTGTTAAGAGAAAGTGTAGAGATAAGCCACGTGGAAGCACATTCAGGTGCCAGAATGCGAGTGAAATCCTCAAGTTCCTTCCAGGTCAGCCCAGTTCCTGGCCAAGTGCAGCGGAATGATTGACACCAGCTAATGCCAGTGGTGCAGAGCAGCTTCGCCAAGACCTGCCTGAATTCCTGACTGACGCTGGTCCTAGTTCCAGTCTTCTGACTGATGATCCACTGGAGGGATTGAGGAGGGTTTCTCCCACTTTTTTGTTCTTAAAAGTCAGAAAATGAGGATCCTTCTGGACTCAACAGTCAAAAGCATCGAATGCCCTGGAACAATCCAGGAGTGAGTGTGTAAATGTGTGTGAATGTGTGTCTGTGTGGGTGGAGGGGGATGGGGTGCAGCCTATGGAAGGTAATGATAGCCTAATTTTGATAATATTGCAGTACAATATATTATTTGCAAAATGCTTCACATGTGTATTTTATCCTTAAAACAACTCCATGATGGGTATAATTATTCCTAAAATACACATGAAGAAACTGAAGCCCACTGACTTTTCCAGGGTAACCCAACTACTCTAAGTGGCAGAGGGACCCATGCCCAGGTCTCCAAATCCAGATCTCCAAACTCCAAATTCTCATTCCACCACACCCCCCTACACACACACACACACACACACACACTCACTCACACTTGAACTCCCACTGGATCAAGGTGGTGAATAGAGAATTCAGGACTAAGATAAAAAGTAGGGTTCAAAAAGGACATGATAGAGAATAACAGAAGTAACAGGCTCAGTGAAGGCTGGCATTAGAAACTAAGACTCGTGGAGGGCAGTGTACAGGGATGTGCTCGAAGTGGGGTCATAAAAACAAGACGTAAACACTGGCTCTAGGCCCCCATCCTGCATGTATGTGTATATGTGTGGGGTGGGGGTAGCTTCACACACGTATAAATGCTATTTACTTTAACAGCCATTTATTGGGAGTCTGAAAGGAGCATAGGATAAAGTTCATACTCTCAAAGAATGAAAACAGTGAAATTAGTCCTTAGAAAACACAGTTCAGACAATCAGTGATCCAGGAGCTCAGCCTTTCAGGAGATGAGGGTAGTGGTGGGGAGAACCAGAGAGGTAAGGAAAGGTTCAGAGCAAAGATGGAACCTGAGCTAGGCCTTGAAGGAGGGGTAGAGACCGCCAAGGGAAGAGCATGTCAGATGAGAAACAGTGAGTTGGACAGTGTGTTGGACAGTGAGGCTACTGGTGTGGCTGCCGTGACTTGTAGGTGGATGACTGGGGAATTGTGATGGGCGGGGCAGGGTAAAGTCAGGTTGTCAGAGCCAAGCGCAGGAATTTAGACTGATTCCATTGGGAGTGTGTGTGTGTGTGTGGTGGGGTGGTGGGGTGTCTTTGAGGATATTTAACCAGAAATGATCAAAAGGGTATTTTAAAAGTATACCGCAGAAAGATATTCTGGGCTTTTAAAGTAAAGTTGTAGTCTGTGTATCGCATTCTACCTAACCATTAAAATAGAGGCTGTGTGTATGTGTGTGTTACACTTTTTATTCTTACTGAATTAGATTACATCTCTTTCTATCCCAAATTAAACAGGGGAGTTTAAACAACTTAGACCTTTGTTTTCAAAAATGGATGCTGAGATTCCGAGTGGTTGAGATTTTAGAACAGGGGCACCCAACTCTCGTTGACATCTGGGAGCACTTTACTATGTGGCTGAACTTCATGCAAGGAGATAATGAACCAAATGAGGAGCAAAGACCTGCTGGTGGCATGTTGTAATTTTGGGGAATGATTTAAATAGAAATGCTTCTACTCATCTCATACCAACAGTAATTAGTGGATTGAATGACTAATCACCAGATGTAGGTAAGCAAATGGTGACTTATTTTTAGACTGGAAGCATGAAGCTATATGAGAGTTGTTGAGGCACATGTTCATAAATCCTGCATTATGACTTATAAGTAACCACTGGAGCAAGCATATTTTAATAAAATGTAAATGTCTACATATTCTTCTGTATCTGAGTTACTTTTATGTAATACTAGAGGCCCAGTTCATGAAATCGTGCGTGGGTAGGATCCCTAGGCCTAGCCTGCCCTCAGGGCCATCTTCCGCCGGTTCGCCAGTCCCCAGTCCCGCCCCGCCGACGACACCCACCCCGGTTCCCCGATTCCCCGTGGTTCCCTGTTCGCCACCGGTGATCAGAGCCTCCAGGATGGGGGGAGGGACCGAGAGGTGGTCAATGCACCTCATAGCGACTGGCCGATTGGTCGTTCTGGTCATTACGCCGTTATGGTCACTGGCCTTTTATTATATAGGAGATGCTTAATAATGTTACACTTCTCAAGCTGGGCATTACAGTCACTTTTTTTTGTGGTGTGCTAAAAATAAAAAGCAGTGGTTTGGGCCAAAGGGCCTCTTTTTTTGTGTGTACTACAGTATATAACATGTAAATTGTAAACATTTAAAGAAAGCATTTAGGCCCAACCTACAAAAAATAGCATCCCAAATATTTATTTGCAAGTGAGTTTGTAACTTAGAACATGTTTTCCTATAGAAACAGTGAAGTAAATACTGTATTTGTTCCTGGACTAATCTACAAATGTTATGTGATTTATGATGTTCATATAATGTGCATTTGCAATGAAAAAAAAAAGGAAGCAATACTTTTGCAATGCTTTATAATTTAAAAAGAGGAGAAGCCCTTGGTACTAAGTACTTTTTCATAGGTGCTGGTGCTTAAAGAAAAGCAGGTTTTAAGGGACAAGGATGAAGAGTTCGATGGAAGTTGTGGAGCTCTGGCATGCAGAGGGGAAGGGGTAGTTAGTGGGAAACAGCCGACCCAGCCACACTGGAGCCGGAGGCAACAAGAAAAAACATGTGCCCTATGCGTACGTGGATCAAAATAGCTTCTCATATTTGGAATCAATAGGAAAAAGTTAATAAAAGCCTAACAGTTTGGAAAAACATCTATAAGTAAAACCCCATGTTACCAATCTACTCACACACCACTGTTAACCCTCATGAACCCGCCTGCCCCGCCCAGGCAGGGCTGGAGGTGGGAAAGGAGGGAACCCCTGCAGCCACTGGGGGGAACCGACGGCTGATTGGAAACCCTTGACTGTTCCCTTTGCACAGACCATAAAACACACAGGAGTAGCTCGTTTTTATTTAAAATGTTGCTACTGTACTTTGTTCACCA